CAATAATGATAGGGCATATCTAGTCCAATATCTAAAGGAGACATCAAAAGTAGTGGGGAAGGGAAAAAAGGATGGTACAGGAATGGTAAAGATGATATGTGCACACACACACACGCACAAGAGTGCACATGCACACACATGCTTGCACACACACACACAAAGAAAGCACAATGAAGCACTAAATACCTTACAAAAGAGGGAAAAAAGGGAAAGAGGTGAAGAAATATAATATTGGTGGTAAACTGGTTAAAAGCACACTGTATACACTATAGAATTATCATAATAAAATTCCCCTTTTTCTATTTGTATATGCTAATAACAAATAGTAATCATTTAAAAAAACTCCCACAAAGTAGAATAAAAGATTTTTTTAAGTGTGCTATTAAAAAAGATACAATTAGGTGCTGGGAAGGTAGCCTCACATGCATGAGACCCTGGGTTCAATTCCTTAGCACCACATCATAAATAGAAAAAGCCAGAAGTGGCGCTGTGGCTCAAGTGACAGAGCACTAGCCTTGAGCTGAAAAGCTAAGGGACAGTGCCTAGGCCCAGAGTTCAAGCCCCACAACAGACAATAAATAAATAAATAAATAAATATACAATTGAAAAGATTAAAAGTCAAGCCAGGCTGGTAGCTACTCAGGAGGCTGAAATCTGAGGATTGCAGCTCAAAGTCAGTCTGGGCAAGAAAGTCTATGAGACTCCTATCTCCAGTTAACCACCAAAAAATCTGAAAGCAGTGCTGTGGCTCAAAGTGGTAAGGTGCTAGTCTTGACCAAAAGAGCTCAAGGACAGTGCCTAGGCCCAAAGTTCAAGTCCCACAACAAGAAAAAAAAAAAAAGTGAAGCTATATGATGAGAAGAAAATATTTAGGATAGATAAGTTTGAAAATGGCATCTCCAACAAATATAACTTGGTAATAAGCAATATAACTACCTAGATATGTTAGATTTACTATACAATTAACAAATCAGATAAATTAAAAAAGAAGAAAATCCCAAGGCCAGAACAAAAAAATCATCAGAACAATCAGTGTATTTAGTTAACAGTGAAGCTGTGAAAAATCATCAGTCCAGTATAACCGGTCCTAGACAACAAAGTGCACAAAGGAAAAAAGAGACAGTTTTGGCTCTTCAAATAGATGGGCTATATAATCAGTGAAATTAAGAGCTATCCCATTTGCAATAAAGATAAAGTTTGTGAATCTCCATCAGATGTCTGCATGAAAACTTGGCAATTCTATCAACTGAAAACCTGAGGCTTCTTCATGAAGAGTGATGACATTTGATTACCCCCAAAATAGGTCCTTGGATGAGGACACCCTTAGGTAACCTAGCTTATTGCAAAATGTTCTAGAAAAATCCGCATAGACCTTATGAGATTCCAACATAAGAACAGAACCATGTAAAAGTAAGCTTATGGCCACGTATGACTGTGGCTCACACCTATAATCATAGCTACTCAGGTGACTTAAATCTGATGATTTAGGTTATTAGTCAGCCAGGACAAAATATACAGGAAACTCTTGTCTCCAATAAACAAGCAAAGAAATAGAAGTTCAGGTTTGGCTCAAGTAGTAGAATACAGTATTGAGCCAAAAAGAAAAAAAAAGCCAAGTGAGAGCTCCAGGCCCTGATTTCAAGCCTCAGTGCTGCCACAAATAAATACATATGGATAAATGAAATAAAAGTAGGCTCACAATAAAACAGAAACAAGAAGAGATACCAAACATGTGAAAGACATGTCACATAAAAAAGTATTACAATCAAGCACCAAGCCTCAGATATCAAACAATAATCTGAAAATACACTTACTGTGATAAAAATAAACTATCTCAAACTTATGAAAAGGAAACAAAATAAGCTGCCCAAATAAAACATAAATATAAATAAATATTAAGTATCAAATATAAACTATAAATATTAAAATATATAAATATTATATAAAATATATAAATATTAAACATAAATATAAAATATAAATATAAAATATTGTCAATTAAAATTTCATCAACCCATAAGTTAATGTCTTGATCAAGTATACCTATAGAGAAGAATTGATGAACTAGAAGACAAACGTGAGGAAATCATCAAACATAAAAATACAGAGAAACGAAGAAATGAGTGAGGAATGGAGAACACGTGTGGCTCAAGTGGTAGAGTGCAAGCCTTGAGCATTTTTTGCCAACATCCTTGAGCTCCAGGTCCTAGTTCAAGCCCTAGTATAGGCCCCAAAAAACAGCAACAACAAAATGATGAAAACTGTGAGAGACAGTGATCAACGGTTCCAATGTTTTAGTATGTGTTCAGAAGAAGATAAAAAGAAAAAAATATAATGAAAAGGAAAATGAAGACTTTCAGAAATGTGATAGTATAAGTCTAGATATTTAAGAAATAAACATAAACCTTGACAATTCATTGGGAACTGCAGTATACCAAATAATAGTAACACTAATCAAACAATAACAATTAGAATGATAGGTCCTGAGAGGCTATTGCTAAACCCCCTGTGGGAGGGAATTGGGGACTTAGCAAAAGGCTGGTGGTGAAGAGAAGAGTTCATGGACAGAAAAGAAGACAAAGAAAGCTGGGTACCAGTGGCTCATGCAAGTAATCCTACTACTCAGGAAGCTAAGAGCTAAGGACTGTTTGGTTTGAAGCCATTCTGGCAGAAAAGTTCCTGTGAGACTCTTATCTCCAATAAACTACTCAAAAAAGCCAGAAGTGGCACTGTGGCTCAAGTGGTTGAACGCTAGCCCTGAGTTAAAAAAAAAAAAAAGACATAATGCAAAAGAAGGACTGAATAACAGGCAGCAGAGTCAAGAATAAATTTTAGTGTTGTGAAACAAGAAATTATGGCCTGGTTAAACAGAGAAGGCAGCATCTCAGATGGCCAGAAGCAAAGCAAGGATATGGAGAATAGGCCTGATGTGCAGGATGAGAATTCAGGTATAATGGATTGAAGGAGAAGGATAAGAGAGAGAGGGAGAGGGAGAGGGAAACAGGGAGAGGGAGAGAGAGAGAGAGGGAGAGGGAGAGGGAGAAAGAGAGAGAGAGATGCACCAAAAGTAAAAGTAAAGGAAGAGAAAATCAAGGTGAAGGAAGAAATAATGGACTGGCCAGAAGTGAAGAAGGAGAACTTAGAGATAAGACAGGAGAAGTTTGTATAAAGGTGGAGCAGTGATGGGCAGAATGCATATACAAGAAGAGAAGCATTTCCCCAAAAGAGAAGTGAGGAGCAACACAACAGTAAGAGCTTCAGAAGACTCCCACAGCAAAGTAGCAAGATATAAAGTCAACAGACAAAAATCAGTTGCAAAGCTGGGTAAAGTGGCTATACTTCTGAAGACTAGAGAAGAAATATTCTCTTAGAGAGGTATTTCCATACCTACATTCATGTACACTAACAATAGCTAAAATGGAGAAACAACCCAAGTGCCAATCATTAGATAAAAGGGTAAGCACAATGTATAAATACACAGAATATTGTTTTGCCTTAGAAAGGGAAGGAAAATTGGGTCCGTAATCCTAGCTACTGAAGAGGCAAAGATTGGGAGGATTAGCCGGGCGCTGTGGCTCACACCTCTAATCCTAGCTACTCAGGAGGCTGGGATCTGAGGATCTCAGTTCCAAGCCAGCCCAAGCAGGAAAAGTCCGTGAAACTCTTTTTTTTTTTTTGGGTCCGGTCGTGGGGCCTGAACTCTGGGCCTGGGTGCTGTCCCTCAGCTCTTCAGCTCAAGGCTAGCACTCTACCACTTGAGCCACAGCGCCACTTCTGGTTTTTTTCTTTTTGCTTATGTGGTGCTGAGGAATCGAACCCAGGGCCTCAGGCATGCAAGGCAAGCGCTCTACCACTGAGCCACCTTCCCAGCCCCTGAAACTCTTATCTCTAATAAACCACCAGGAAGCTGGAAGTGGCGCTGTAGCTCAAATGGTAGAGCGCTAACCATGAGCTGAAGAGCTGAGGGACAGCACCCAGGCCCAGAGTTCAAGCCCTATGACCTACCCCCCCAAAAAAAAAAAAAATTGGGAGGGGGCTGGGAAGGTGGCTCAGTGGTAGAGCGCTTGCCTTGCATGCCTGAGGCCCTGGGTTCTATTCCTCAGCACCACATAAGCAAAAAGAAAAATACCAGAAGTGGCGCTGTGGCGCAAGTGGTAGAGCGCTAGCCTTGAGCTGAAGAGCTGAGGGATAGCGCCCAGGCCCAGAGTTCAGGCCTACTACCGGACCAAAAAAAAAAAAAAAAAATTGGGAGGATTTAAGTTTAAGGCCACTCCAAACAAAAAGTTTGTGAGAATCTATCTTAACCAATAACTGGGGCCTGGTGGCATGCTCCTGTCCTCCCAGCTAGGAAGAGAGCCTGCCTGGTAAAAATATGAGACTTTACCCGAAACATAACTAAAACCAATAGGTCTACAGGTGTGGTTCAAGTTGTAGAATTTCTACCTAACAGGCATGAAGACCTGCATTTAATTCTAGGTATGCTATAATGTGGATGAAATTTACTTAACAAATTATGCTGAATAAAATAAGGTAGGCACAAAAATATTGTGGTGATTCCACTATAAAAAGTACTAATAGTCAAAATCATATGAATAGGGTGGCCAGGGATTATGAAGAAGGGGAAAGAGATAATTACTATTTAATGAGTTTTAAAAGATGGACAGTCGCAGACGTGGGTGGCTTGTTCTGATGTACTTAATACCACTAAAATGCACATGGTAAAATGATTAGAACAATAAATTATATACATCACCGTAAGAAATTTAGAAATAATTTATTTCATATCTATCAACGACATCAAATAAAGAAGTTGTGAATTGCTTATGTGTGATAAATACAAAGACTTTGTACAAAGATAGCATTAATCTATAGCAATTCATATATTAAAATCATAACACAAACTAGCTATACTTTCATAAAACTCTATAAAATTTTGTATGAAGAAATGAGAAGAAACTATCAGATCAACAATTTTAACAAAAATAGAACATAAACTATACCTTGGAAGCACGAATCTGCCTGTGAACGTCTGTTAGTTGTTGAATTTTGTATTCTAGCTCTGAAATCTGGGCTTGAAGCCAAGTCCATCGACTGCCAACTCTTGCTCTGTCTACGAGCCACTTCCATTCAGTACTAGAGTTACTGTGAATAAGACAAATACTGTTAGTCAAAGCACAAAAACAATCAAGTTTTCACAGAGGCTGATCAATAACTGCCTTGACTCCTATCATATAAGTCCAATTTCCTTTACTAAATATCTAATTATATAAGGGGAAAATGGTAGGGTAACTTCTACCCCCAAAAATAGATTCAATTCCTTTACCTTTCTATCTCACAAATACTTGCTTTTATTCAATACTATATACCTAGTACCAGAAGACTCTAGTATGACAGAAATCATATTACAACAGAAATTGAAGATAATCTGAAGATAATTACTTAATGCCAAAACATTAAAAAAACATTGTCTAAAACATATTTAGTGCTAAACTCCATGTAATATACAGCAACAGTGAACTATAAGTAAATGATGAGCTGATAATGATATATTCATGTAGGTTCCTTGGTTATAACACTTGGCACTGCTGTTGCCCACAAAAGTCTGAACATTTGTGGGGACAGAGAATATGTGAGTTTTGCTTTGAATCTACAGCTGCTCTAAAATCTTAAATTTAAAAATGTATTTGGACATCAAGTATCTCATATAAATCACAGCAATTGAAAATATTTAAGAGAGATCATTTGCTGTTAGATAATCAAAAAGCAATTATTCTAGCTTTGCTATACACAATGTAATCATTACAACAATTTATAACAGTACTTCCTAAATGATATTTTTTAAAGATTCTGGTTGTATATAATGTGATTGAAGACAGCATATTCATGAGGATTTTTCTTGGTATTACTGTTTACTCAGTTTATTGTCGTTTTGATTTTTGTCAATTTGATTCTAAAAATAACATTTCACAAATATAGACAGTGAGAAAGAATGTCTAATAAAAATTCACTGTTTGTAGATAATATTTAATGGCATTAAATATCAATCCTTTAGTTTAGGAAAGGCAAGAGCCATAAAAAGCAGTATTTTGCACAGATGAGAATAAACTAGATTTTAATACACAATGGAAACTAATTTTTAAAATTTACACTCATGGACAGTAGAATTGTGCCAAAACTATATTGGTGTTTAAACAAAGTGACTTGGTGTTTTAAATGAGGCTTCTGTTGTGTTAAAACACTGAGATTAGGAAAGTAGCTTGATTCCATATAGCCCATTCTGAATAAAACACTGAGTATGAAAATGGTTTGGACTGGAAAGAGGGGAAGACAAAGAAGAAAAAATAGGTAAGGTTTCTGTGAAGTTGATGGATTTGCAGAGTTACAGTGTGGATGTAAACACATGAAAATCACATTCTCTCATTACATTTTGATCCAGTTGGAAAACTTCCCCATAACATGCAATTTCCTTTGGCTATCAAATCAGTGATTAATGATCAAATATAATACAGATAAAAGAAAGTTGCATTTCTTTTTCATATTGTATTTCTGGTAAAGATACTGGGATATTGAAACAAGTATTATATGGCATTTTTGTGCTCATATATTAAATTATACTGACAGAGAAAAACAGCAATGCAAGTTTAAGTAAACTGAATTACACCGAAGCTTTGTGATGTGTGAAATGAAATTTTTTGGTAAAGGATAATTTATCCTGCATTATAATAAGAATAAATAAAACTGTGCACTGAAAAATGGCAAATGAGCTTCCCCAGGAAAAATGTTCCCTTGCCTGAAGACATGATTTTCTTAAAAAGTAATTATAGCTGCAAATGTGTAAAAGATAAACATATGGCCAACTTGCTCAAAAAAGATTAACACCTGTTGAACACTAAAGTCAAAACATGTTTTACGTAAACAACTTATATAACCAATGATGTAATGACTAGCATAACTGGCAGTGTAACCAATCGGAACGTTACTGATACAACAATGAACCCCTAAGATCTGAGACAGACCAGAATATCTAGGCACCCTTGTTATCACAGAAGCCTGGCCTGCCAAACCCTAAAGAATATTGACTCATGCATTGAGTGCTGACCTGACCACAGGTCACTGCATGCTCACCATATAATAGTAATGCTCAGGACAAAGACATCTGTGAATGGAGACAACCTAGGCAGTGAGAGACCTGTCACCCACCCTCTCCCCTCCATCAAAAGAAAAGGTAGTTCCTGCTTTCAGTACCCATTCTTGCTTGCTTAGAGTCCCTGTTTAAATTGATGAAAGAAGTACAAGCTGGTGAAGGCTTTTTGGGTACAATTTCTCTTGGTTTAAAATAGCTAACATGTTTTGACTTTGAAATAGGGTTCCTCAAAATAAGTCAGAGCTTTCCAATACTTTGTCTTAGATTACTAAGGTTTATAGAGAGATATGTGATTATAATTTTGCCTTTAACACAAAGATTTTGTTTGCTAATATAATTATGACTTTAAAAAAGAGACAGGGCTGGAAAGATGGCTCAGTGGAAGAGTGCTTGCCTTGCATGCATCCCTGTGTTCAATTCCCCAGCACCACATAAGCAGAAAAAGCCAGAAGTGGTGTTATGGCTCAAGCAGTAGAGTGCTATCCTTGAGCTGAAGAGCTGAGGGATAGTGCCTAGGCCCAGAGTCCAGGCCCCATGACCGGTAAAAATAAATAAATAAATAATAAAAAGAGACAATATGGGTATTAAAAAATGATCATTTCAAGCCAAATAAGATTTGTCCTGAAAAAAAAATAAACTGGACTAACCTTCTCCACCAATATTTGCTTACCAGAAAAAAAAACAAAAAACTTTTCTTCCTGGAAGTGGGTTCCCTTAGATTGGATGCTGGCAAACTTTCTGTAAAAAGGTGTATATTAAACTTGATGTGGTAACTCACACGAGAAATCCCAGTAATTTGAGGGATAGGAGGTCAGCCTGGGAAAAATGTCTATGGGACCCTATCTGAACAAGTCAGATATCAAGAGTAATAACTGTAATCCCAGCTACAGTGGGAGGCATAGGCTTTAGTCCAAAGCCAGCCCAGGGGGAAAGAGCAAGACGATCAGAAAAGTAACTCAAAGAAAAAAGGGCAAGAGGCATGGCTCAAGTGATTGAAAGCTTGTCTAGCAAAGAGCACTGCACAAAATTCAAATCCCATAATAACAAATAAACAAAATTTTAAAAGAATAAGTAAGTGCTGATGAGATTTTGTAGGCCATTTGGTCTCTGTAACAACTACTCAACTCTTACCTCTGTAGTATGAGAGCAGCCGTACACAATCCATATGTGATGCAATAACTTTATTTTCAGAAACAGGGTTAGGACAGATTTGGTTAACGGATCCCAATTATACAACCTGGACTAATAATTATCTTTTCATATGCATCTCCTTCTTCCAAAAGGATTATGATTTCCTTTGAAGACATGCCTGTGCAATATTTTGTCTGTTTTCCTGGGTCATCTTACTATTAATATTCCAAGGCCTGCTTTAGGCCTGATTTGAAAGGCAGGAGTTCCCGGCATTTAATACTACATTGACATTCAGAATGTATGAGGATATCGATCTGTTTATTAAATATTTTTTTAAGTAGCACTTTTTTGGGGGGATAGGAGGACAGTCGTGGGGTTTGAACTCTGGGCCTGGACGTTATTCTTGAGTTTTTCAGCTCAAGGCGAGTGCTCTATTACTTGAGCCACAGAGCCACTTTTGGCATGAGCCACTGCTACCTGGCATAAGCAGCACTTTTGTCAGGTGCCAGGGCTCACCCTTATAATCCTGGCTACTCAGGAGGCCAAGATCTCAGGATTGTGGTTAAAGCCAGCCCCAGTAGGAAAATGTATAAGACTCTTATCTCCAATTAACCACCAAAATACCAGAAGTGGAGCTATGGCTCAAGTAGTAGAGGACTAGCCTTGAGCAAAAAAGTTCAGGGAAAAAGTAACAAGTCCCAGGACCAGCAAACACACACACACACACACACACACACACACACACACAGTAGCACATTTTAATGCTGTATTTAACTTATAGATCTAATAGTAGAATCTTAGTAACACTATCTTCTGATCATCATATACAGTATATACTTCTCTGCTCATTTGCATACTGCTAATTTCTCTCAGCCATGTTTTGTGTATGATTTAAAAGCTTACATTTCATATTAATAGATGCTAGTATACAGTATCTACTAATTATTTGTATACTACTGTATGGAACATAACTGATTTTTATGTTGTCTTTAAGTTCACTTATGAGTTCTAATAGTTTCCTTATACAAGTCTTTTTTTAAATTGTAAAGGTGATGTACAGAGGGGTTACAGTTACATAAGTAAGGTGATGAGTATATTTCTTGTTGTACAAGTCTTTAGCATGTGGATTACAGCTCACATGCATGGACATCCTTACTATCTTACAAAACCTACCACGAACCCAGGTCCATTCACTAGCATACAGCAGACAAGGGTCTCATATCTAAAATATAGTTAAAACTCAAAAAATTAACTCCTCCAACAACAAATCCTCAAAGAAACAACCATCTATTAATAAGTGGGCTAAACTTAAAGAGAGACTTCTCTGAAGAGGAAATAAGAATGGCCAATAGACACATGAAGAAATGCTCAACTTCTCTAGAAATGCAAATCAAAACAACATTGAGATTCCATCTCACCCCAGTTAGAATGGCTATAACCAAGAAATCTAATAACAACAGATGCTGGAGAGGATGTGACCAAAAGGGAACCCTACTGCATTGTTGGTGGGAGTGTAAACTTGTTCAACCACTTTAGAAAGTAGTATGGAGGTTCCACAAAAGACTCCATCCACATAGAGCTCCCCTATGACCCAGCAATCCTACTTTCGGACATTTACCTGAACAATCACAAACAAAATCATACCAAAGCTACCAGCACAACCATGTTTATTGCAGCATTATTCACCATAATGGAACCAACCCAGATGCCCCCTCAGTAGATTAATAGATCTAGAAAATGTGGCATATATATACAATGGTATTCTATGCCTCCATCAGAAAGAATGACATTGCCCCATTTGTTAGGAAATGGAAAGACTTGGGGCTGGGAAGGTGGCTCAGTGGTAGAGCGCTTGCCTTGCATGCAT